CCCAAAACAAATCTCCAACTGTACCCCCTTTGGACAAAAGAAGGAGGCAGTTTTGCTTTATTTATGTCCCCTTCTCTCTCCTCTGATGGGCTTTGGACTCCAGAACTCCCAGATCCTGGTATTATATCTAGAATATGCATATATATTTTTTTCTTTTGCACCCTGAAGAGTTAGCTGTGGCTCTGTGTTTTGCCATCAGACACAACTAGGTGCCATTTGCTCTATGTGTGGGGGGAAAGGCTTAAAATTTTAAAACTACAGAAAGGGAAATATTTCTATTTAAAATCATGCTATGATAGTGTTTGCTTCTTTAAAGGTAAAACAAAGGGACCCACATGATTATTTTCTTTGTATAAAGCAGTGCTCCTAGAGACCTAAGTTTACTTTTAGACAGAATGTCGGGTTATGAAGTCAGGAAGTAGAAAGTGAACAAAAATTAAAAGAATAAAAACATCCTAAATGGTCATAAATGTTTTGACGATGTCTTGGAAATGTACCTAGAAGGATTTCACCTCCTTACTCTGTTCATTTGTTGAACAAAGACGTTTTGAATAAAGACAATCTGTCATTGCAAAAAGTAACCTTTGATGTGCATAAAATCTGAAGTCAGGAGACCCTGCCCGAGGGGCGGTGAAGTCGGGTCGTCGGAGGCTTAGAGCACATAGAGTGACTAGCAGTGATGGCTGGTCTTGCGTGGGCCAAGCCTGGTGGCCTGTGGGCCAGATGCAATGGGGCCCAGAGTCTGGGATTTGTCCCAATCGATCGCGCCCTCTGGACCCGCTATTTGCCTTTAGAGGCTGGACAAAGGTATCGGTCCCTTGGACGTCACTCCTTCCATGCCTTCTTCACAAAGTGGTCAGACCACTTCAAGGAGCGAATGTGCTAAGACAAAAGCCGACCCAGACCTCTGAGACCTGGGTGCATTTTCTTTTCTTTTAAACCAAACTCTGAAAGAATGGAAAAAGCGCAGAGTCTACTGGGAACCAGTTGCGCACCAGGCACGGAGTCCTGCGGTGGGTGTTTAAGTTCAATGCATGGGGGAAGACTGGTGCAATTGGTATTTTTAAAAAATGCTTGAGAACGCTGCTGCTGGCTCTTGGGATTTGGGGCTCCATACTGGTTCCTAAGTTAAACAATCAAAGTCTAGGAAACCTAGAAAAACGTGTCTTAGGTCCCTGCTCTGGACTATGGAAGACTTTTTACCAAGATTCTGCGGGATCCAAGGAAAAAGGGAGGCGACACGGCTCAGGCATGGAGTGAAAAAAAATCATAAAAATTCAATAACTTTCAGCCCTTGGTGTTTAACAAAAAAGCAAAAAGAGCCTTTTCCTTTCCCCACTGGGTGAATGTTAGCTGAAGATTGCTCTGTTTTTCATAGAGGAGAAGGGACCTTCTGATGCCTTCCAGCCCAACTCTTTGGAACTTGTTCTCAAAATCGAAGGGTGCTCCCTCACCCCTATCTCTCACCAGTCTGACCCCCAAAGCCGTGCTCTTGCATGTTTTTCCATAGGTGGGGTGCTTTGCCCACTGGCTTTGATGTGGTGCGGAATGGGGGTGGGGGCCAGCCTAGCGATTTGTCTGCTTTCTGCTTCTGTTGAGGGATTTTTGTGCTTGCTTCTGCCTTTTCTAAAGGAGTCGGTGGCTGGAAGTGCAAGGGAAACGTTGTCAACAGACACCGAAGCCGAAAAACCACCGATTAGCATATTGTCCTCAAAACAATTAGAAGTGTTTGAGGTGTTATTTGGAGCCTATTCATCCGAGCCCCTTTGTCAAAGGGGGATTTTCATTATTAAAAAAAAAAAAAGTTAGCAGTTGTCCATCTGGCTGAGCTGAATAGCAAAGTGATCCGTGTTGTATATGCTTTTCTCATTAAGAGCTCTTTTGAGACCGATGTTAGAATTAAATGGTATAACACAATTAACATACACGGGCGTTGAATAGGAGGAGACGCCTATAAATAATAGATAGATAAATAAATGAGCGATCAGGCGAAGGTAAACAAAAGCGGGCTGGGGACGTGTAGGGGGAGGCCGGGCGGGCTGCGCCACGCTTACTTAGCATCACAAAACCCTCTTACAAATCGAGACAATTAGGAAGTGACTTGCCTCTGGTGGCCGTCCGGTCTGGGGGCTCTAGGCGCTTAGGGAAAGCCCCTCCTTCCGCCCCCTAGAAGCCCAGGAGGCCTAGGGCGGAGGCACCGCGGTTTCGCTGTCTGATATAACCCCAACTGACAGTCCTGTCAGCCGCTCTGATCTCCCTCATAGCTCAGTGTCCCTTAACATCTCCTAAGATGAAGCTTACAGGGGTCTGGGTGTCTCCCCGCAGAGCCCGGCGCACCAGCGCCCCAGGTGCACAGAGCGCCCCGGCCCGAGGAGGATTCTGGCGCACACGGCCCGACCAGGGTGCCCAGGAGACTCCCGGGCTGGCTTAGGCTGAGAAGGGGTACCAGGTGGGTCCAAGAGGGGAGGCCTCGGGCGGCGGCGGCGGAAGCTGGAAAACTGAAACCAGGGTTCCAGACTGCGCCCGGCCCTGCGGACTCCAAAAGGAGCTCCAGGAAACTGGGGTGCGCTGTAGCAGGGAGGCGCCCGTGTGCCCGCGACTGGGTGATTGAGACTAGTTTCCAACCAGCAGAGAGCGCGGGGCCCAGCGCAGGTCCCGGGACCTAAAGCCATAGACCTAGCTCTAGCCGTGTCTGTTCCACCTCGTCTCTTTCCTTCCTAGTCGGGCCATGTCCAGCTGTCTGTCCTTCTCAGGCCTGGCCCCAGCCTCGGCCCCGCAGCACCTGCCTCTGCCTAGCCTCCCGCGCCCCGCGGGCCGCAGAGGCTCCGCCGAGGTGCGCGGCTGCGACTCGCCCTAACAAACAGCCGAAATCCTCCTCGTCACGCCGCTGACAGGGGCCGATTACTGACTTTGAAGTCAGGCGCAGACAAAAAGAAATCCCCTGGGGGGGTGTGTGGTGGTGGGGGGGAGCAGTCCCTGTCAAACCTGTTTGCTCACAACTGTCTCTTTCTTTCAAGAAAATCATTAAAGCAAACCTGTAGGGAGAGGAGCGCCCCGCCCGCCCGGAGTGGAGGAGAGCCGCTTCTCCCGAGCGCGAGCGCGCTACTCGCAGCAAAGAGCAGTCAAGAGTCACCCTCGACAGACTCTTGGTGTCATCGGGAGAACGCGAACTCCCGGGGCGCGCGGGGCGACAGGGACCCTGCAGGAGCCGACTCCGTGGACTCCTCCGAGCTCTGAGCGCGTCCCGCAGCCTGGGGGTCCCGGACTTCTGCCCGCAGCCTTGGCCTCCCTGGAGCAAGGGCAAGGGTGCCAGAGAGGGCCCGGGCCGCTCGCCTGCGGGGACTGCTTCCGGGGAACAAAAAAAATTGACCCCAAAACATGCCACGCTCACCCCCACCCCTCCCCTACTGGGCATTTTCTAGGACCCTGGAGTCCTGACCAACACAGGCTCCAGATGGCAGCGGGTGGCGCTGGTGCGGCAGGGGCAGAGTTGTTTGGGTTTTAGTTAGGTTTTCTTTCTTAAACCTTGGCAGCCCCCTGGCTCAGGGGCACAGTGACCACATCCTCTGGGAGATTCGAGATCATTGGCCCCCTTCCGCTCCTGGCCTCTCATGGAGAACTCCCGCAGCCTTTCAGGCGCTTCCCCAGCTTTGGGTCTGTCTCCAGAAATCTTTAATTCCCTTCCAGTTTCTGAGTTTTCCCATTTAAATATTAGTTTCCTCAGAACAACCAACTTTATACTGGGAGACACCAGCTACTTAAAGTAAATCTCACTGAGGTGTGAGTGACTGACATCGGAAACCCTCTTAACATTTGCATTTTAAAACTGGATCTAGATAACCTCCTGGGTTTTCCAGTCACCTAAGCAGGGTGATGTTTCAGTCAGGAGGGTCTAGGGAACTTTCATTACACCGCGCTACCTAGAGAAGCGTCTCCCCCGTGGGCACCCTCTCTGGAGAGAACTGAGACTGCCAGGGCCCGGAAAACTTAGTGAGGCTGGCGCTAGGACTGCCCTCGAGGACTCTCCTTCAGCTCCTCCCCGGCTCTGGTCTTGTCACCATTGTTCAAGCGGACAATGAATTTCAAGTCATTTGAATTTGAATATCACTTAATTCACAAGATTCGTATTAAGAACTCTCATCTCTTTATTTGCTGAGTGGATTGTGTGTGAGTGTAAGAGAGGAAGACAGAAGGGGCACGTTAGATTTGGGTATGGAGATGCCAGGGCCTTTCCTCCCGCCATGGCCAAGGGGCGCGCCCTCCTAGCCTCTGGCGCTGCCCTGACCTCGAGACCCTCGACTCAGCTTTGGGGGCACTATTTGGGCCGGTTACTCTCTTGGCGCTCCGGGGATGGTACTTGTCCTGGAACCAGAAGCGTTGGCGCTGGGCAGCTGCAGAGTAATTAAGAAAATAATAAAGTTGGGGATGGGTGGGAATCTCTAGAAATTCTGGGGCGGGCGTAGACGCGGAACTGGAGATTCGCGGTCGCTTCGGCCTAACCCTTGCTCTGTGCGCTCCGGGAACAGCGACTTGGTGGTGCCTGCCCTGGCACTGGGAAGGGGGCTGGAGGCAGAAAAGAGAGCCTCGACACTCCCTCCTCGCCCAGCCCCCGACCCTGCATCCGGCTTAGCTGTCACCCGCGGCCCCCTGCCAGTCCCTGGGTCGGGGTGTCGGAGTTGTGCTCTTGTGAAGCTGGAAGGGCCTCGGGCCCAGGAAGTTCTTGGGAGGCCTCCCTAGATTCTTGTCCTCTTCGCTCTAATTCCTGCTCTGTGCATCCTCGCCGACCCCCCAAAAGGCCCCAAGAATTTGGTCCGAGTCGGGGAAGGGAACGGGTCCTCAGGCCGGACAGAGACAGAAAGGAGCCCGTGGTCTCCTCTTTGCTACAAAATGAAGGAGTTGCGCTATTTCTGGCGGCCAGTGGCCATTTCCAAACTTTTCCACTCTTGGGTCGGGAAGAGAAGCAATCAAACGCGATTCGTGCCTTCGGGGCAGGGCTGGAAGGGACTTCAGGAAAACTCTGCCAGCCGGCCGGACCGCACTCGGCCGGGAGCCAGGAGGAGACGAAGCCCAGACCCGTCGGCCGCGAGCCGGGAAGACCGGTCGTTCTAGAGCGCAGGGCCCCTTCGGCCTGAAGGCCGCCGCGTCGCCTGCTGCTCCCTGCTCGTGAGCTCAGCCTCTCTTGGGTGCCTCAGGGCTCGGTGGCACCTCAGAGCCCCGAGGCTCTGCGGGCGCTAGAGCGGCGCCGAGCAGGAGGGGAGGTGGGTGTGAGGCGCGCGCTGGGTTCGGCGGGAGAGGCGGGAGAGGCGGGAGAGGCGGGAGCGGCGCACCAGCCTAGCTGACGGAGGGCGGAGAGCCGGGAGTCCCGAGAGCCTCCGAGCGGCTCCCGACTTCCTGCAGCGGGGCCAAGCCCCTGCGGGCTCTCGGGACGCCCCGCCCGGGTACCGCGGGAGGAGGGAGAGGGGAGGGAGGGAGCCGGCGGCCGAGGCGCTCGCCGCTGGTCCCCGTTCGCCCGGCACCCCCCGTGGCGCGGCGAGTCAATGGGATTTGCACACTCGAGGTGTAACAGCATTACTGCATTAATTACCATTTCCATTTCACGTCCAGATTGTTTACTTATCTGCGGGAAACATATGTCGGGAGAAGTTCACATTCCGGATTCTGCTCCGCTGCCCAAGGTGCAATTCCGGGGAGGCGGCGAGGGGGAGGGGAGGGCTTCAGATTTTTTATTACACCCTCTAGCCTTATCTGCCGCTGTAAATTATGAGGATCCTCCATTGAGCGGCATATGGAGATTATATACTTTTTTGAATATCGTTTCCCAAAGCCTGCAGATTTTCACTTTGAAATGAAACAATCCTTTACCGACTCCCTCGGGGCCGGGCGCCTGCTGCGCTCCCCCGTGCGGCCTGGGGGACCCTTTTTGCAGGGCCGCGCACGCACCCACAACCCCAGTGCTGCGGCCACTGCCCAACGGAACCCTATTTTCCAGGATCTGAAATAATCTCTCGGGGAAAACCCATCCTTCGAAAGTGTTTGAGAACCAAGGCGGCGCCCCTGCTCTGTTTTCTGCACCTCATCCCCGGACTTCTGCGCCGTTTGCAGCTCTCTTTCATTTTGGATACCCGCATAGACACGAGCCCACTTCTGCCCTCTTGCTACGCCTCGCGGCTCCAAACCCGTGGACAGGGTTGAGGAGTCCACGCCTGCCTGCAGCAGCCTGCCTCGCCCTCACGCACCTCGAAGGTTCCCAAGCGCACTGGGCTTGGGACAGCCAATTTTGGCTTCTTTGTTTGGGGTGCGGTGGAGGTGGTGGGGAATGTGCCCCCGCTTGAGACCGCTTATTGTGAACCCCGAACGGAAATCCTGTGTGGAAGGCAACTGCCTCCCTGCTCCGGGATAAGCAGGACCAACCAGAGCAGCACGGACCGAATCCCATCTTTCTTATCTCTCGGAGACTCCTTTCAGGCTGAGATCTGAGAGGGAGGGAAAAGGAAGAGACAATCATTGTTCTTCTTCTTTTTTTAATTTAATATACCAAACCACCCGTTCAGGTCATTTATATGCTTAATTTAGTGATAAAAAGTCAATAAGCAGAATCAGAGGATTCTCCTCTCTTTCTATTTCTTTGACCACATTTTTCCACAGTAATTAGGAACACAGTATAATATATATTTCCTGGTTTTTTTTTTTTTTCCGTTCAATGGTTTGTCTGCAATGCAATTATAATAGGTGTGCTTTTTGTAATGTAATTTGTTCACCTTCTTAAGGACATAGGAAAAATATGCCTCTTATGTGATTATTTTTCATCTTGTTTAGGTTCGGCTTGAAGTATTGCACACGTTCCATATGTAGACACCCACTCTCAAAAACCAAATTCAGAAATTTCCCTGAAATGCCCGTTCTTAGGATGCTAAATATCCCGTGGGAAACGTATTGCAATGTTATACTAGGAACAATTAAATGTACCAAAGCAATGCAATTAAGGTGGAAAAAAAGTAAGATGGAATAATGGGGAAATAAACAGATTCTTTTCCATTAAGTATTGTTTTGGGATTTCTAATTTTTTCAAGACCTCTAAGAAAATTGTGAGGTGTCACTTCTCTCTTCTGGGTCTATCTGTAATTGAATCTAGGTCACTATTCTAAAGCAAGAAAAGTCTGCTTCCCACTTTCCTACATCAGGTTGAAATTTGGGGGAGGGACAAGGGTCTTGCAATTTCATTTAAAATGTAATGGTGGATGAACTGATAAGCAAATAGGGAGAAAGGAGTCTGCTTAAAAGAAAAAAAAAAGGCATGGTTTTAATATGCTCCAGATGGGGGGAAAATGATTTACATGAGAGTTTATTTCCTCTTTGCTGGTATGAAAGAATTACAGATACAAAACCCACTGATCTATAGAATAAAAAAAGAAAAGAAATGTTATTTTCCTGTAAAGGTGTCAGTTCATTTATATTCATTTAACCATCCATCCATCAATTCACTTTCTCACTCCTTGCACATCCTCTCTGGCTCTGTTAAACCTTCGCCTACAAATACACTTTGCTAGAATATGCAATGAAGTTTTCTTTCTTTAAAATAACGTGAGATTGAGGTGAAGTAGGTAAAGATAGGTAAAGAGGGAAGGTTTTTGTTGTTTTTAAATATCCCTACTAATTTAACTTGTGATTTGAGGGCAAAATTTTAACCATATTCACCTTTCATTCTTTGCTGCAGTTTGAGCACATGCAGCAAGACTGAAAAATTATATGCAGAGGATATGCAATTATTTTTCCATAAAATATGCATGCAATAGAAAGACATTTATCAATTGAAAACCTTCTGTAACATAGAAATGTACCAAAAAAACGAATCTTCATGTATAGTCAGATGTTGGGTCAATAACGCATTGTTTCACTAAAACAACGGTTATGGGTTCGAACAAGTTCATATTTCCCTAAGGATTTTCTGCTTGGTCAAGTTATGGGCAGCATCAAATCTTTCGTGTTAAAATTTGCCAGATCTAAATAATTGTGTAGTAAAATCTGCACATATCAAGAAAGAAATAAGAGGTGCTGTCACTTGGGAGCTTCCAAGAGATGGAGGAGATTAAGAATAGGTTTTACTTTTCTTGAAATAAAAGATAATGACCAGCATGGTAGATACTTTCTCCGTATTCACCCAAGTAAAGGGGTGATGTAATGTCACCTCATTTCAATGTCACCCATTTGGAGACCTACAAACGTAAGAAAGGACAAGACCAACCATCAACATCTGATGATGGTTTTCACAAGTAAAATAAATAGTAAATGCATTCCCACAGGATAAAGCTTCTCCAGACTGAAAACTAATTAAGTAATTCTTTGTTTTTCCTTTCTTATTCCTCCTCTTCCCCTTCCTTGTCCCCTTCTTGTTTAGTTTTCCTTTTTAAAATGTGGACACTACTATCAGATCAGAAATTTCCTTTGTAGGTCTTCATCAATTACCAGCATCATTCTTCTTCATGTTGGTTTCTTCCTGGTCTTATTTCCTTCCACCACGGTAATGCATGTTCTTACCCATCTTATTTTTGATCAGACAAACTGAATAAGAGGGAAAAGGGGTAACATTTTCTTCAGAAGTTGGAATTTTTTGTGTATATTTCTTACCTCCAACTCTAGACTCATTTGGAGTGTTTATAATATACATTGGCTGGATGAGAAAACACCTTTAAGACACTTAAAAATTTCTCCTTACCATTGTCTTTTACCTCCTGGGTTCTCTGGAATGTTTGTGATACTTGTACCTAATAAGAAGGATCCATTTGCTTTGAGTTATCTTTGAGAACAACACTGAAGGCCTGAAGGTGTGTCGTCTGCAGAAGAGGTGAGCTGAACTTTTCTCTTGTCCAAATATACTCATGGTTTTCAATGTGTCATTTGTACATTTATATAAATAGGTTATACTCTGAGCTGATATGAACACAAACAAGGTGTAAAAATAAATGACTACCTAGTGGCTGCTGTGGCAGCTCCAGCTGACACCTGGGCTTCAGACCTGCCTTGTTAGCACAGGTTCGATGAAACTCGAAGTGTATCATACAACTGTAACAGTATTCATGGCCAACTTGTTAGGCAGAGAGGACTGGAATCAGATGGGAGGTCAATCTGCTATCCAATTAACAACCTTAGTTCCTTCGCAGATGGTTGGAGTTGCTCCAACATTTCTTGAAAACATATCTTGTAATAAACAGGTGAAATGAGTGATAATGGATGTGGGTTTTGATTTTCTATTTTAGGAAGAGAAATTCCAAGAGCAAATCTGAAGCCAAGCCTTGTGATTAGGTCTCTCTCTGCGATAGCTCCATCCTTCTGCAGGTGACCTCTTCTGGAGTTCTCTTGGCATACCAAGACTGCCCGCCTCTTTGGGGACAACATTTTGCTGCCCCGTGTCAACTCTCAGAAGACATTCTACAGGGACATTTTATTCTTGTCTTCGTTTTTTGTTTGTGTTTTAATGGAGAGAGAAATTAGATTAGCTCTACTAATCACCATTGTGTAATATGATGGACATCCAAATCACCAAACCCACTGGGAAAAGGAGCCCTGATTCCCTTTTGAGACAATCTGGAGGAAAACAGGTAAATTTGATTTGTGACAAACTGTTGCCAAAAAGAAAAGTACCATTATGATTTTACTTTTCTTAGTTGGCGATGGCTCAAAAGTAAGATAAAGCTTAACAAGAAAAAAAAATCTTTGGATTGAGATCAAAAAGCGTATGTACTGATTTCTGTCTTCTGGTCATCCTTTGAGTTTCAACTAGATGTCAATAGTTAATAAAGGGAAACAAGTTAAAAAAGCCTTGATTCGTGAATGCATTTGTCAACACCTTATGGTCCCAATTCTTTACTTTCCTGAATGGGCAGCTAGTCACCACCACCCAGAGGAACCCAGAGACCTTATGCTAAGGTTCCACACCACTGTCAATGCAACAGGGTGGGAATAGAACGATGAAGGGAGTGGCATGCCTCTGCCGATTACTCATGAAAGTTCTAATAATTGGGCTTTAGATCCCTATTAATGGTATCAAGTTCACTCATATACTCTTTCCCTTGATAAGAGAGGGCAGCAACAAAAGTTCTGACTGCCTTACTAGGAGAAATCCCTGATGCTGAAAGACACAAAACCTGGAATATGATCAGAACAGCCTGGAAGACTCCCAGAGCCCATTGGAGCTGTTGCCTGGCATGGAAGCGAAAGCCTGAGCACCAAGCCTCAGACCATTCATTTAATGAAATCCCTGGCTTAGATGCAGAAAAAGAAGTCAGGAAACTCATATTTTACTCCAAGGGGCATCCACTGTGCCTGCATTGGAGGGTACAACAGACTATTTGATGCAAAGGGGTAAGATTTTGATCTCTTTGAAATCAGAAACTGAGAGAAAAGCCAACATTGTCAACCATGTTTAGGTACCATCTCAGCTAGTGTAAGTGAGAATACTTTTTCTTTCAGTAAAATGTGTTTTAGGGATATGCTTTAATTGATTATATTTCCTTCTAGCACTCTGAAGATTTGTCTCCATCTTCCCTGGGGAGATGTACTCTGTTTTCAATAAGAGAGAGCCACAATTATTTACTAAATGGATATTAATTGAGCAATCTGTGTGAAGAAGCGTGTGAGGTGTCGTAGACACCCCATCTTGTTAAATTCTCTCCAAAGCACCAGGAGGTAGGTACTGTTATTACCCCTATTTGACATAGGAAGAAACTGAGTCTCAGAGACATTAAATGACTCACCCAAGGGCTCATGGCCCTCACAATAGAACTGCTATACCAATGCTCACTGTCTGCCCACGACTATCTATAAAATCAAGGGCTCACTGGAGGTGGGGTAAGGAACAAAGGACCCAAGGAATCCACAGCTGGGGACAAGACCAAGGAAGAGGAGAAAATGTAGAGTTTGGGGTAAAGTGGAGAATTGCAACACTTTCCTTTCTCAGGTGGATGAGTAGAATATGCAGAATCAAAATGAATCTGCATCTCCTGTTACTATGAATGAAGCCCTCTTACTAGCTGGGCCCACAATGCTTCAGCCTTCTTGGCCCAAGTCTCACTGATGCTTCTGCATCTTGCAGATGTGGCCAGGGAGCAGGATATCACCAAATAATCCCAAGTCATCACAGATTTGGAGGGGCATCCACA